TATCATGGTTAGTAGAGGCCGATCTTTGATCAGGCGAGCGGCGGTGCTCACGAAGTGACCTTCCCCAATCATACCCAAGTTCCCGAGCCGAGCAACTTTGGTGATGACGGACACAATGGCCTTAGGCAAACGAGTCAGGGTTTCCTAAATTTTCCCAAAATAAAATATTTGGTGGCGACTCTGTATCTGGCAAAGCATTCCATGTTTGGCACTTCTTTCAAAATATGTTTTCTCAAAACGATTTGCCGGATTTGGGCTCTTTGGTTCAGATTTAGAACCGTGACAAATTGAGAGTCCGAACTGTAGTGAGCCCAAATGAACAGAATGGGAGCTCGACCCTCCCGGGGCGTTTGGGGGTCTACAGGGAGTGATCAGAATAAGTTCTAGGAAGAACTCTAACTGTGGCTTCGGGAAACATGGACCTCCATTCCGCATTACATAGAGCTCGGTCAAGTCTTTCCATGGTGTTAGCTATACCTTGTCTATTGTTCGTCCATGTCAAGCGAGGTCCGGAACAGCCCAAGTCAATTAGATTACAGCTATTCACCCATACAGAAATTTTTGAGTTCTACTGGTATTGTGGCTAGCTGAGAAACTCCTTCTTTCACTTTGATTAGCGTAGTCATTAAAGTCTCCAGCCACCAACCAAGGTTGTTGCATTGAATGTGCTACATCTTCAAGGTCCTGCCAAAGCCGTTCCCGAAGGCTGGGGTTGGGGCTGGCATAGACAGCAGCCAGTACCCATTCCTCATAATCCTCCTTATGTACAGTAGTGTGAATGACTTGTGGACTAACTATAGAGGCTCTAACATTCACTTGCTTGTATCCCAAACAATCCATATACCCCCCACTCTGCCTACGGGATCAACCGTAGATGAGGCAGTGAATCCAGGTTGATTAAAGAATTCTCTCATGGTGCTAAAGGCCACCTTGGTTTCCATGAGGATCAGAATCTCTGGTTTATGGTCTTGACAATTTCCACAAGATTACGTTTAAATTTGTTATTGCCGGCACCGCGGCAATTCCAGAATAGAAGACGGATTAAATCCATTAAAGGGAATGATGGGGGGGTGGTACCTTCGAGGTTTATGATACTACGTATTCTCCGACGGTTGTCCTCCGTTGATCTGAGAGAGGCCATCTGCACTGAGTGAAGTGGATGTGGTCGATTGTCCCCCAACTTGGCTCGATGATTAACCGAATTTGTTCTATCCGCCAGTCGAAAGTGACTAGGTGAAGAGCTTCGTTCTCTAGTTCTAATAACAGCCCCACCAAGCTAGTTTGCCTCAGATGCTCCTCTACATAAAGTCTTTGACCTCTGAATTCGTTACTTTTTCCTTCTCCATTGTGTTGTTCTCCTGGGTCGGGGTGTTCTTTTTCTTGTAACAATGGGTCCGTGAGTACTGGAGAAAGACTAACACCAGGGATAGTGATATTTGGAGTGCAGTTGGTTGTGTGAGATAGACTAGCTATAGCTGTTGTGAAGTCAAATCCTCTTGCCGTGTACTAGTATCCAAGACACATATCATGTCAGTCATGCCAGATTGTGGGTGTTTTCACTGTGAGAGTGTTCTATTTCAATGTGCTCAGGGCCTGACACCTCTGCAATAGGCTCCTTCACGTGCATCGATGTACTAGCACCAGTTCGGGTAACCATGGGTAGATGTTGGTTTAGCTTATTTTTCCCTTTGGATGGGTTTAAGTTCAGGGCCATCCTATCTCTATCATTGGGTTCATAGGTCTGGTTAGGATTTAGAGGGGTTGAGTGGCTGCTCATGACCTTATCGGCACCAACTCTGGTATGTTTACGGCCCCGTGATTGTTCTCCTTGTTCCTCATGAGATCCTTCTAAGTATCTAAACTTATTGGACTTGGTTACTGTGCCAGATGGTTCTTGAGTTTTCCTGTGATGAACAGGTCGTCTACCCCGTTTGGTAACCAGCATCCAAGGCCCAAAATCCTCTTCCAAAGTTTCCTGATGTTGCTGTTTACCGTTGGTCTCATCGACAGGAGCTCCACTGACTGCATCGGTAACGGTTACCTTTCCCCTGCCGGCTGTGCAGTTTGCGATCGAAATCTTCATGCTTCTTTCCGGTGATCAATTCGTCCGCAAAGGAAGCAGAAAGAGCGGAGGGATTCATACTTTATATTATAGCATTTCTTCTCAAAATAAATTTGGAATTAGTGGTTTGGTTAGGTCCATCTCTACACATACTCGTGCAAATTTACCTCTGGTTGCCATTGCGGTGTCCAGTCTATCTTCAGGGGTTTCCCAATGTTTTTGGCAATCGCGAAAAGGACTTTATCCTGAGTATTCAATCGTAAGTTCCGGAAACCGAACCCAAATTGCGGTTGTGGTTTCAAAAGCTTTCGAAGGCTTGAAGTTTGGTTCCCATTTTCTGACTGTCAGGTAGTGATCCATGATCACCCAGGGCCTCCAGTGTACACTTTAGTATAGTCTTCTTGATTATAAAACTTAAATAAAAATATTTGTAACCCAAATCAATGGCAGTGAACTCATCTTGAAGCCCCCATATATGTTTTTGCTCGAGTGCAAAGCATGTTGTAACCAATACTCTTCCCCAGTAGTCTGATGATTAGAGTGCTCTCCCTTGGTTTACGAATTTTTTTTTTGAGCTCTATTTCATGTTTCATTAAGGGACTTTTGTCATTTAAGGTCCCCATTTTGCACTTGCTTCATTATCCCTCTTGTATGCCTATTTCTTGCGTAGTATTTTAGGCTTATGTATAATCTGTTTTGAGGCATGTCATAAACTAAAGAGTTGCTTATTTTGAGCCCTTCTTCAACATTGTTGATGGGCTCATTGCTGTTTGTGGCCTCCATTTACTACTTGCCATTATATCTCTCTTTTGGCCATTTTTTTGGATGATTTGTTAGCCTCGGATGCTTCTGTTTTTGGTCTCTTTTCAGAACTGAAAACAGTCTTATTTTGACCCCCTCTTCATGTTTCATTAAGGGTCTTTCATAATTTGAGGCATATTTTATATACTTTGTGTTATATCCCTATTTTTGGCCTTATTTTGCATAGCATTTTGAGCATTCTTGCATACTGTTTTGGGTCCGGCCATCAACTGTAAAGTGTATTATTTTTGGCCCCTCTTCAACATTGTTGAAGAGCCCCTTTGTGTTTAAGGCCAGAAACCACTACTTGCTTCTTTGTCTATCTTTTGGCCCTTTTCTTGCATGAGAGCTTAGCCATACCTGTGTTGGTTTTTGTGGTTTTTCATAAACTGTAAAACATCATATTTTGGGCCCCTCTTCAACATTGTTGAAGGGCCCTAATCTGTTTAGGGTCAGCAGCTGTGAGTTGGTTCTTTATCTCACATTTAGGGCTATTTTTGCATGCTAGTTTTTCCCTATTTGTGTTTGCTGTTTGGCCTTGCTTAGAACTGTAAACATGATTTTTTTGGGGCTGCCTTGAATCTGTCTTCACATGTCATGATCAAATAATGCATGCTTTGTATAGCTGTAAGCCATTTCATGTACCTAGTTTTGCATTTCGGGAGAAATTCCATGCATTGGGTGTCATTTCGCCTTGTTTCGGGGCTGTTTTGCCCCTCATTTTGCCACTGATTTTTGCATGTTTGCATATCATATTCCATGTCTTTGCCATGTCTCATTAGAGTGGCATTTCGGTGGCTGAGGGTCGGTCCTCGGTTTGTGTGCACGCGTGCACGCATTTCGAGTTGTCTTGTTTTCATCTGATGGCCTCCTATGTGATTGTGGCTAAGGCTCTCTCATGTTGGTGTAAGCCCATTATTGCATTGCGTATGCCATTTCATCCATAGCATTGTGTATGCTCGGTTGTGTATTACCTCGTGCAGCGTGTATGCCATTCCATAACATTGTGTATGTTAGGATTGTATCATAGTTGCATTTCATGCATGTCATGCATATTGCATCGTGTTCGGGATAGGAGTTAGCCCGGGCCTCATTTGTGTTCCATGTTTGGCCATGCTTTAAACTGTAAACATGATTTTTTTGGGCCTGCCTAGCTTCTGTCTTCATACTTCATGTTCAAATTATGCCTGCATTGCATAGCTATAGGCCATTTCATGCGCCA